CATCCCTTTTGCGTTTTATAATAGATAATGTCATTCTTTTCTTTTTTTCTGTATAATAGAAAAAGAAACTCTGGAATAATATTGTAATATTATAATGATATGATATAATCAAATAAATTATTATGTAATATTATATAATAGAAATGGAGTTTATCCTTTATAAAGGATAAATAATATATAATTGAAAAATATTCATTACAAATTATTTTCAATTTTACGATCATTCATCATTATTTTTAAAATGTTTTACGTCAGAAACATTCATAATTGTTTTAATGTAATTTTTGCATCAGTAATATTCATTGTTTCCCATAAATTCTAGATCAAAGATATTCTTTAAAAGTTATTTTAAAAGTATTATGTAATTCTACATAACTTCAATTTAACATTTTTCAGATAACCATTGAACCAGAATTAAGAGTCCATTACAAGTAGTAGTTTCACTTGTTGCTTATTCCAAAGGCATTCAAGGATCTATAAAGTGATTCTCAAACTATTCTCCAGAGGAAAACTCTGGTGGAATAATTGTGGAGATCTTTGATACTTACCAACATCACCATCACCCAGAATTACGTGATGGAGGATGAAGAGCACCAACAGTTCCGAGCCTCCTCGTAACCACCGTTTATGGCCCATAGATCTTCCTATAATTACATACATATATTCAATTTAGTTTCTTACTCAAAACCAAACATATATATCCTTTTCCCCCATTTAATTTCAACCTTTTATAATGCTACAGCATTTTTGTGAAAGTAAAGAAACAAAAGTAGCTTGAACAGAAATGAAGATAAACTAGAGTAAGCTAATTACTATTTCTTTGAAGTTCATAGTTCATAGCCGGTGGCATATTCGTTTTCATTAAGTTCACTCAGATTGATGTTTCATTCGATTAATGAAACGTGGATCTTCATTTTTAATAAGATGAAACGGAGTAAAAGAAGAAAGAGAGAGCTGGAAAATATGTGAAAAATTGCGGTCTACATGTAGAAATGAAATACAGGTACGTTTCTAATTATACATTGATAATTATGATGATTCATTTCTTGTTTCAATACTTTCTGGTAGATATTTATAGATTATAATTGTCTCTAATTATTCTTGTTAATTAATGATATTATTAATCAATTTAAAAGCACCACCAATTTGAAGAAGTATCTATCAAAAGATTGTTATCCTTTGATTTACTTTCTCTATATATGTAATATCTTTCAGCATGATAAATAATTATATCTATAACAATTTTAAACAACAATTTTGTCGACACAAATATCTATTTAAATTACTCAATTAAAGTATACCAAAATACAATCAAAAACTGTTCACTTGCGAGATTTCAATTCACAATGAAAAATAATTCGCGATGTATATTACACTGTGGAAAAGTGTACAAGCTGTTTAGCTCACGGTACGTGAGTTACACGGCAACTTGTTGGAATAACCGAGTTGTCCATTAGCTCAGAAACTATTTCGTCGAGTGTAGCGGCGAGCTTCGTTAAAATCTTCCAAAAGGAATAAAATTACTGTACTAATTTAATCAACTGTTGAAATAACGAATCGGCAGAAACTGCACCGCTTCATAAAGGGTGCGGTACACCTTTCCGTAACGACACAAGCGTAACGTTTACGCAATCACGATGTATACCCCCATAATCAAATGACACCGAAGCGAGAGCAAAGCAAATTACAGCAGCGTTCTCGGAAAATAGCTTAACGAAGAGCTTACTTAAAATCCGGAGTTCAATCCCGACCAACAATTCTAATAAACCTCTAATTACTCCAATCTCGATTACAATCCAATAAAAACAGCTGTTTGTTCGGTCTCTTCTCAACAATCGTTCCCTTCTGTCCCACTAATTTCTACCTTCTGTCTTGCAAATTAAAAGTGGATAAATTAATATATATACCTAAACGTACATCTAACTAATTCCTAATTGGTTGAATAAATCAACAACCAGAGAGTCCACGTTCTGTTCTAATTCAATTCACGCAAATTTGGTAATGGTAAAATTCCGTGAACTACCGACCACGTCTCCAGTTATACAGCCGAAGCATCAGGTTGTAGTCACGTTCCCTCCCCTTCCGTTTCTGCCATACTCCTGCGAATCTATATGGCGCTTCGTAACAGCGAGAAACGTGTCTCTCCGTCGGGCTTACCTGGGCGTGACACCTGGTTACTTTCTCTTCCTAAGTTCAATACATCCTTGCCGAGAGATCCTTCAATCTTTGGTGGTGTGTACCGGTGTGCGTTAAGGACAGGAGAACTGGATGCAATCGACTCGTTCGACGGAATAGAAATTATCGGCAATGGACCATGTCCTACCCTGTGCGCCCTGTTGTGCCGCAGCAGTGCCACCGACTGAGTATTCTTCCACAAAGAACGAGCGCAAGCAGGGCATGCGTTGACCACGCAATCGATTACAACGCGCACATGCCGGCTGGCGAACGATCAAGGATGTGAATAGTGATGGGACCAATACCCTCGCGATACCTGGACCTTGAAAACGACGATTTCACAGTACATCGGATGCTTCCTGACATATGGATTATCGCATAATGGGCGTGGGGAATCGATCTGGATTGCGTGCGCGATTACACTGAAAATAAATTTGCAATACGTGAATGATAAAATAATTAAGTGTAACGAGATGGAATATTTTATATCAATACGAATTAAGAAAAAAGATTAAAGAATTTACTTTGGATGAAATGATGAAAATTGGATGTCTGGAGAAATCCGTCAAATGGAAACTAATTTCTACAAAGAGGACAATAATTTTTAGCATTATGTTTTCTGTAAGTGTTAATAAGAAAATACATTTTTGTACATCAGTTGCGTGTCGTAACAGATGATGAAATCATCAAATGAAATCATAATTTTTAAATTTAATAAATTTCGTACCAATAATATCAAGTACTGTATATATATATATATATATTTCTATATTAAGTGGAAATACTTCCATTTGATACAAACTTATGATTTTATCTGCAAATAGTTCAAATGTCGAACAAATTAGAATTTAAAAATAGCTCTGATCTAATCTGTTTGATAATTAGACACGTAAGCGTAACTACGCAAATTATAAGATCTTTTCTATAGAAAAGTTAGCAAGAAATTGATTTTATCACGTAGAATTCATCTTATCACGAATGTTTGCAAATTAATTTCAAACGTGTAAAAATAAGATTTGTTTTGTAGTAAGTGGTAAATATAAGGTCGTTCCCATCGCTGAAAGGGGAGGGGGTGAAAAAGAAGCAGAGAGGGAAAGAAATAACACCTTCAACAATAATAGAGAAACAGCTGGAGCTTTTTGTGCAGCCCGTTATCAGGCCGATATTACTTCACGCTTTATCTCGAATGCTTCAAGAACTTTTAGCAAAGTTCCAATTTGAAAAAAAATTTTTCCATCAGATAATGTCGAATTGCATGGAGTGTATTCATGAGCTGACAAACGCCTGCGCATTTTCTATTCTATCCCTCTTTGCATTCTCCGTCTCTTTTATCGCTGAGCACCTGTTGTTCACAAACTGCGTTTTCCCTTCGAAATGATTGAACTTAGTTTCTTCTATATAGATTACCCCTCGATAAAACTGTTACATAATTACATGGAACTATTGATTCATATAAATATAAATTCTACTAATAATAATTCATTGTTCCCGTAATGTTATCATATCTTCTTGGATTTCAAGTAATTTTAATTTAACACACTTTTTAATGTCTCTGTTCCCTCGTTAATTCCAGCAAGTCATTGCATTATATTAATAGTAATCGTGGAATCTGAAATTATTGTAATTTAGAAATGTATATTCTGGTCAATATAATAATGAACATATTATTATATTAATAAATATTATTATAATATAGTATATTCATTTATATATATTTTTTTAGGTTAGGTAATATATAATATATATTTAGGTTAGAAAAGAAAAAAAGAGCTTTAAGAATTTTTGTATTTCTGTTATCTGCGACAGAAATGAATTTTTGATGATTTCATCAAAGTATCGATTGGAAACTAAGCCCCGAGTCTTAAGAAGTAACGAGTCTTTTCTACTCGTTCTTTTCTCCTATTAAGAAGACAAAGACGAAAGTAGAATACTCCGTGATGTATCAGACAGTCGATTTGTCTCAACATCCAAGTTTTATTTCCTCTTGTTAATCGATTAATTTTCAAGATGTTGATTTTCTAAAAAAAAAATTTATTAAATACGTTAAAAATCCATTTTTGTGTCAAATTTACTTTAAAGATCATTGTAATTAACTAATCGTTGTACATTAAGATATTAAGAATCACTTCCATTCGTGTGTAATTATTTTACAAAATATCTATATCTTTTATAAAAATCTATATGATCTTTTAAGCAATTGAAATATTCTCATTACTTTTGTGTGAAAATAATTCTTATTATCACGTGTCAAATAACAAAAATAACAATGAAAGTAATAAAAATTAAATCAATGTAACAAATTTAGTAATAGGGTAAAAAAAAAAGTTTACAAGTACGTCTTTTGTCAACTTCATCGTGCTATTAGACTGATAAATATGATAAATAGAGCAAAACTGATACTACTAATAATTTATATTTGTTCTGTTTTTCAATTAAAAATTTTTGTTAACCTTAAACTTCTTTTACTACTGTTCTACGTTTACTATTATTTAATATATTAAGAAACATTATGCGTACTTGGTTAAAATTAATTATTCAAATAACGTCGTCAATCTTAAAGTTGCATTCAACATTGCATCAACGAAGTTTAAACTAAAAACTGAAAACTAAAGCAAAAGATTAAATTAAAAATATTACAGGAACGTCAATTATACTTCAAAATAGTTCTGGAAATACCTTTCGAAACTTATTAGAAACATTGCGTGTGGCGCAGGCAAATAAATCGATAAAAAAATTTCGTCTCTCGATAATGCGAGAAACGATGGCGTCCAAAAAAGGCTATCGATTATGTCGATGTATCGATTTGCGAATAATGTTTCGAGTATATCGATCATTGACGTCGATAGTGTCCAGTTTAAAATGTAGCGTACACGTGTAGCTTCTTTAATTCTCAATTCGTAGAAAAAGTAAAGAACGAATCGCACTAGAACTACGATGGCCAGTGCAACTATAAATAACAGTGCTCCACAAGTGCAAATAAAATTTCTTACCAAACAGGAACAGTAAGTATTCGTTTTGACTATCGTTTATAAGCTGCGTTAGGAGGTTAATTCATATTGTTGTCACAGATATGACACTCACGCTTTATGCAACAATTTTTTTATTTCTGTAATCATGATATCTAGTCATAACAAATAAATTTTTTTAATTTCAGGTACGCTGTTCCAGATTTTCCATTATCAGTGCACACATCCATCATACCCAATGAATTAAACATTCTTGTGAATGAACTTTTGAAAGGTAGTGTACGACTCATTTCTAAATGTGCAGATTTTGAGTCAATGAAATATTCTGTTTGCTAATGTGGTTTAATTCCAGAGTCAACCGATATAGGGAATAACATAGAATTTGATTTCTTGGTGTGCTCACAATTTTTGCGAACTTCATTAAGTGAACACATATTAGAAAGAAATATCTCTACAGAGGAAGTCATAATCATTGAGTATGTTGAAAAATACCCACCACCAGAGCCTCAGGATTGTCTTATACATGATGACTGGGTTTCTGCTGTTGCTGTTTGTGAAAAATGGTTACTTTCCTTATAGGTTATCATTACTTATTATTAGAATTGTAAAGTTATCTTCAAATTTGTAATTTAACAGGATCTTAACTGGCTGTTATGACAATACATTACACATATGGACATCTAAAGGGAAACACCATCTAGTAATTCCTGGACATACTTCACCTATTAAAGCTGTAGCATGGATTTCCTTAACCAGTGACATGGCCACTTTTGTTAGGTATAATCTTATAATTAGAAGTTGAATTAAATAATCTGTTAAATCTTACAGTCATCTGAAATTTACAGTGCCTCTCAAGATCAGACAGCTATAATATGGGACTGGAACATTGTAAAGAATTCAGTAGATTGTATTCATGTATGCAGAGGACATGAACGTGGACTAGAAGCTGTTAACGTTAATTATGACAAGACAGTGATTGCAACTGGAGGATGGGACACAATGCTTAAAATCTGGTCCACAGGTAAATATTTTATCTTATAAGAAAAAGCAGATCGTTAATGAAAAAATGTTTCACTTTCATTTGTATTTCAGCGAATCAAGATGAAAATGAAGATGGTGAATCTGCTTCAAAAAGATTGAAATCAGAACATGGTAAAACAAGGGTAAGTAAAATTAATAAATACAAATAGAATGTTTTTTTAATAAAAAAATAATTTATTGCAATATATATTATCATATTATAAAGATACCTAAAAGAACGATGAAAGGTCACAAAGAAGCCATCAGTGGTGTAGTATGGTCAGATAAAACAGAAATTATAACGTCGTCATGGGATCATACAATTAAAATATGGGATTCAGAATTAGGAGGGATCAAACACGAACTAGCTGGGAACAAGAGTTTCTTTGACCTCGATTATTCAACATTAAGTCGCACTGTCATTACCGCATCAGCTGATAGGCATATCAGATTATACGACCCAAGATCTACAGGTTTCAATTGAAATCATTTTTTTTTTTTTTTTTTTTTGTAAATTTCTAGTCATTGTTACGTTAAAATAATTTCTTCTTCAGAGGGAACACTTGTGAAAACAATATTCACGTCTCACACACAATGGGTACAATCTGTACGGTGGTCGCCAGTGGACGAAAATCTTTTCATTTCAGGAGCATATGATAATGATATGAAACTTTGGGATACCAGAAGGTATGATAATCTTCAATTTCACTTAGGCATATTTATAATGTAAATATGTTTAAGACAAAAAGTCTGTTTCATCTTACAGTCCTAAAGCGCCGTTATTTGATCTTTCCGGGCATGAAGATAAAGTATTGTGTTGCAATTGGTCGAATCCCAAATTTATAGTGTCCGGAGGTGCAGATAATACCGTAAGAATATTCAAATCGAAACATATTATTCGTTAATAGTGAATCGTTACGAAATCTTTACACGTAATAGAAAAATGAAATATTGTGCATAATGCAAATTGATAACAATAAGGTTTTTTTATCATCTGAATATTTATTACATTCTAAATAAATGTAATCGTCTAAAAGAAATGTCTAAAAGAGATGTATTCTCGTCGTGAAACATACTGAATGACAAAATCATCACTCAATGTAAAACGATCAAAAAATATCGAATCGAATTCTGAACTGCAACAACAAAACTCAAAACTACATGTATGCAAATCAAGATAATGTACATAAAGCAAGTACAAAATATTTTCGTACAAATAAATATATCTAACGAAGTCAAAGAGAAAAAAAATGCGACTTTAATGGAAAAAGTATTTTGCATGGCCTAAAAAAAAAAGCTCTCAACGTCAAATCAAAATTCGCATTCCTTTTATTTCAATGAGTTCTTTTTACGACGTGTTCGCTTTCTTTTTTTTTTTCTTTTTAATTTTACTCTTGTATTTTACATCATTATAAAACCACCATTTAATTGACAAAAGAGGAGATTTAGTAATCGTTCTCATACATTGCCAACATTTTCGATTCAAATCTTTTTATCTTCACCTTCACGTTTTAAGAATTTCGAATTATCTTTATTGCGCACAAATGAAAACCATTTACTCAAAATAGTACAAATCGCATCAGCGTGTAAGGTTGTTAAAAGTACTAAGAAAAAGACTCGTTACGTCCTACCGTATTACCAAAAAATTGAATGTGACATATTAAACAATTCAATTTCGCAGAAAACAATTCTATCGTCGATTAATATACAGGCGGACGCTGGATGTATCATTACACAATTAGTTAGGATAATGTGGGGGGCTTATTGTTTTAACATTACTTACAAAGGACAAATGTTCAGTCTATTGCACATGCTGTAATTACTACACATTAGATACAATAATTTCGTTTCACTGATTGTTCGATTGAGAAGAACGTGATATTTTTTTGGCTTTTCTTTTTTTTTTGTTTTCTCTTCTTTTTTTTTTTTTTTTTTTTTTTTTAATTCGTTAAGCTCACTCTTTCAGTCCTGGAAAATACCAAAAATCGGTTTCAAGGTATAATATTAAAAAAGGCATATACAATAGTCGCTATTTGACTCGATAGAAGGCATATCATCTCTTTTCTTTCTTTTTTTCTTTTTTTTTTTTTTAGTGTTGGAATACGTATAAATACAGTCACTGATTTTGTACGAGAGTAAGTTTATTTTACAGATTTTACATTTCGTTTGTTCGTTCCTCACAGAAAATGTTCGTTTACTTTTTGACACAACAAAGAAAAACGAAGGGAAACGAAAATAAATCTGTATGTGTTTCCTGTATGAAACTCAGCAAAATTTAATGCGGACAAAAGAGAACTACAATGGGGGAAATGTCTAAGAAGAAATAATGATACAAATTTGGGGATTCACTCTCTTTGAAGTCTGTGTTGAAGACCATTCCATAATTGGCGGCCTGCCATTAGAGAAAACTCAGGAAAGGAAAAGAAAATCATTCGAATAAATCCCCAAAACAGATCGTTTATTGATCAAAAATAAGGGATGATAATTAAGAATTTGATTCTTTCACTTTGAATATACCAAACCATACTTGTAAGTAACTCTAAAAACTGTTCAAGTGCACGCTCCGCATACAAAGTGTAAGAAGTGTGTGACGTTCAGAGCGTGCACACGCAGTGTGCAGTTTACAGTAACAGTGTGTCTCTGCAGTCTGTATCGTGTCATAGGCAGATGGTTGTTCTTTTTTTTTTCTTCTTTTTCCTCTTTTTTTCTTTTTTTTTTTTTTATTTTTAAAGTACGCATTATAAATTATGCATACAACCTACACACCACATATTCGTCTCGCACTTTCTCTCTCTTTCTCTCCCGCTCTCGCACATCTCACATGTGTTTTCTT